GCACGAATTTACATGTTATGATATTCGATGGACAAGAGACTGGCATCATAGTGTAATTTGAAGAAAGGACGAGAACGTGATGCTTGGGCTATAAAGGAATGTCAATCCAGGCGGAAATCTTTAATTGATGAAAATCAGTGGCGCAAAAAGCAAGGCAGACCTTGAAGGCGTTTGAATTAGGAGGTATAGATAGCTTAAAGCCAAATTTGAGAGGGTGAGTTGTGTAATTCTCGATAGATAAGTCGCAAAGCAAGCCCTTACTCTTGCTTATTTTTAATCTGAGAACCACTCAAAGGATTGTGTCGATGTTGAGTGGCAGCTATTGCGGCTCTTAAGTGATAAACATTTAACGTCATATCAGATCCGTTTCACTTTAAAGAATGTGAAAAATATGAGAGACATTAAAAGTAGGTTAGAGGAGCATTCTTCTTAGAGGTGTTTCTGCTAGCATTAGGAGCGTTTCGATACTCGCCACGACTGGGGGTAGAGGATGTTACGACTATGCTAGAGTTTTTGCACTGCCTTCCCCTGCGTTAAATTTGCAAACATTCCTTACGACTGTTTTGTTTGGGCTTGTTGAGCTAAGCATATTTTCTCATTTTACTTGGGCTGCCTGACCCGACTACATTACATTTACTTTTGACCAAACGTTCATAATCGCTTATCAGCTATCAAATTATCTTGAGTTCCTAGCTAAAGTTACCCGAGAGAGACATAAGAAACAGAAATCAAATTCACTTAATGCCAACAGCTTCCTTACAATCGGTTCAAATTATCTGAGTTGGATTTCGCTACAAATGCAGTTCTGATTCATATAGCCTTGAGGATCGTGAAAACCTGCAAATTCAAGTATTAATAGCCGAAGGTATTTGGAAACCCAAATTTTCTGCGGTCAGATAGTAAAATTGGGAATTTTAACAATTTTGCCTTTGTCAGTATGAGGATATTGTAGTTTCCTTCTTTTCCTCCTCCTCATTCGCCTCATTCTCTTCGCAATTATCCGCCACTAGATTTCGAAATTACGAAAAGGAAATCTTTAACAAAAAATCGTAGTGCTAACGAGCTTCGTTCTCAATCTCTAAAATAATGCCAATTTGCAAAAATTAAAGAAAATCCAACAAAAATATACACAATGACATTACGCGATGCCACAGTAAGTATTAAAACCAAATTCAATACATATGGCTAGATTCATTTATTAATGCATCGATGATCATCTTTTGTTTGCAAAAATTAAAGCATTATTTTGAGTAGTTGGTACCATTTTCATTTTTCTTCTCTGTCCTTATATGAGCCCGTATTCATGGTCACCTGAAGGAATCTGGATTAGGTCATGATTTATTACATTGTAACGTTAATCATGTGCTTAAACACATCGCCAGAGAACCGACCGCCTAATTCGAAACACTCAAGCAGAATGTTGGCCTGTTAAATGACAGCACTTAACAAATAAATAGGGTGTAAATACTACAATAAGTGCTTCAAATATTTTAGTGTGACTCAGGGCTTTGCTTCATCCCATTGGACCTCCATCTTAGCACCCAATGATAGATAGCACCACCAAACTCACTAAATCTAAAGTAACCCAACATGGTAAGTACAGCGTCCCCCTTCTCCTCCAGTTGTGATAGTCCGTTGATTTGTGCTTTCCTAATCTTCCCTGCAGAAGTTGTCCGTGCATATAAATAGCTCATTTACTTAGGTAAATTATATTTTGATGTAGCTATGTACAGGCGCATAAGTAGAACTTGCGAAGAAATTAAAACGGACTGTACACATATTCGCACAGGATATTGCCACACTCACACCTGTTTTACCAGGTGTGCAGATTTTATGCACTGTTTACTTGTATCAATTAGCATGGCTATTCCTTAGATGGTCCATTTAGCACTGCATTCGGATTTAAGGGGCGCACTAATTCATTGACATATTTGCTACTTCTTTTGTCAACAGCTACTCTCATATTTCTGCCTAGTTCAGATCGTTGAGATTAATGTATTTTAGGCTTGAAAATAGGTGGGTAAAGAGAAGGCAGATAGGTAGGCAAGCAGTACCTTAAGGTCTGTCAAATTATCAATCACCATCAGCTCTTCGTAAATAGACCTCCATAATAAGAATGCAGTCAGCTAAGGTGTGTGGTATCTTTTGACTTAAAAAAGCTGTGCAATGTGAATTTTTGCAACCAAAATTTATCGCTAGAAGCAAAGATGTTCCTAGTTAAATCTGAATCATGTCACTTCTTTCCGCTTAGCATAAGTTTTTCACAGATGCAATGATTCTTACCTGTCGTTAAAAGCTTTTGCCGTAGGAGACGTAGTTACTTTCTAAGGCTGACATTGGAGCTGGGGTAATAGCAGTAACTTTGAGCGAATACAAGCCTGTTTTTTGTTAAAAATTTGGACAGAAGTTTTGCCCTAGGAATTCGGTTACTCACCTGGCTGTGGATACACGAGACCTGGCGTAAGGAAATCTATGGGACCAAAAAATACAAAATTTGGGAATGGGTAATCTCTTCCAATCCCAAACACTAAAATGAAACACAAATTAGGGATTAGCAGGCCACATTTGCCTCGTCAGCTAACAAGGCCTAAATAAGTCTACCTAAAGGACTTGATTTTTTCTCTAAATTGCTTTCAATTAATTGGATGCACCAATGGTAGCCTCACGTGTGGTTATTAATGTGCAGATGTGATAGCACCAGTAGTGGAACTCTGGACTCTGCCAGACCATGGTAAGCGAGTGTCTTGATTGATGTGCAAAGTTAATTCTAAAAAGATGCTGCAGGGCATAAGAGGGAAGAATGTAAGCTGGGGAAGTGAATGAGACGTCCATTATTACAGGCTGGCACGTTTTACTGCATAAATCTTGGGTGAGACACAAGTACATAAAATTTGGGAACTCATCAGTAGCTGCACTTCTTTAGGTATTCATTTCTAGCACTGATCTGGTGTGTCAAATCTGTTATTGGCTATTGAAGCAAGGTGATTTGAATAGTAGCGTAACATATCCATGTCGATCAATTTGATCAATGCGAATGCACTTTCCGAATGACTTATGATTAATAACCTTTGAAACGGTTATTTTTTCAATGATATTGGCTAGGTGATTTTATGCAAATTTTGCGCATAATCCCGGTGCCAGCAAGTCAGCACAGAATATGGATTGTACTAGCAGAAATAGGACTATCTACTTAATCTGAACAATCATTTGTTTTCCCTGCAAGTGGGAATTGGCATTTCCTATGCATGGTATAGTGACCAATCCATTTATATAACAGTTTGGAACAAAGTTTGAAGGAAATCAGTTAAAATTTGTTTACCACACGTTAATCAACTGTCAAAATCATCACTCTTAAGGACGAGAAAATGTGTGCAGCAGTAGCTATACCATGTTACATTCAAATCCAAGCTGAGTCTAGCCTGAGATGAGTGAAGCCAAAGTGGGAATAAGATGGTTCTTAAGTCTAACGTCCTCGTTTACCACATATTACTAAAAGATAGCGCCTTGAAATAAGCGATAAATGGCCTTTACCTCTTTACTATTCTCGTTCTCATCTCGTTTTTGTTGAGACTGCCCCTTATTTGCATTTATCATGCCTGACCTAATTTACCAATTCATTGGTGACTTTTGTTTGGCATTCTTTCACAGCAGTAGCTTCATTGACCAAACTAATATAACACTGCAGACTTAGTTTCAAAAAGTTTGTTGTTCTGCTCTTAAAGCAATCTTTTTAAGCATTCTTTTCTTTTTTCTCGAATTTGCAAGTATGTCTAAGGTGAGTCTACTGAAAAATACCAAGAGAAAGAGGGAAAGAAGAACAATCATAAATTTAAGATGGTTTTAGCGACACAAAAGTATCCAGGAATTACTGATTCATGCCGAATGAGAAGTTTGTTCACACAAATGTATATAAAACCAAAACGGACTTACTATGTAGATTCCGCTATCTGCTGGCTTTTAAAGGGATAGAAACTCCACCACTAGGTGCACAGTTGATCATTTTAGAACTGATTGCAGAGGGTTATGACTTTGTATCTGTGGTAGCCTTCATGTCAGTTCTACTTTTCTGGTGTATGTACAAGATGGTTGCATCTGACCTGCTTTCCTGAAATCCTAACAACTCGACTTGCCATATTGCTGTTTCTGGGCGATGGCGATAGACAAGATTTTGTTTGCTGTACTCTTGTTAGTGAGAAATAAAATTACTAATTGTTAAGACTACTAAAATAAGAATAAGCAACTGCGAATTTTGAATTAAAGACCGCGTGTTGCCAATTTTGGTATAATGCCTTGGTAAAGACGGCCGATTTATGATGGGTAGGAGGGAGAGAAAAGATTTGCTTCGGAGGTGAATGTATGCGAAGACTTAAATGTGAGAGGAGTACAATTTGATCCTTTTTTAAGAGTCTCATCTAAAAGAGCTTATCTGCATACAAGTGTCGAGTAACAGTCGAAATGACCATTTTCACTTGCGTTTCCCCAGGCCGTGCAATAAGCAACTTGCATTGGCCTACTTTTATTAAGAGGTAGTTGGTGCTGACTCACCAATGCTATGTTACAAGGAGGTAGGAAGTCATAGAAATCTTGCCTTCGGTTTTATATAAGCTGCATCAGTGTGTATAAGTGAGATGAGAGACCCTTACTCCTGACCATAAACCACACGCTGAGAGTGGAAAAACGTCAGACGAGGTGCTGCTGCTAGCACATTAGGTGGTGTACACGTGGAGAGGGTTGAAAAGTTTTGCTTTTAAAAGCCCATTGGTAAGGTGATTTTGACATCATTAAATTAAACTTGGGCTGTTCTGTTCCCTATCAGTAATACCAGTGGGAGAGGTTGCGGTCCTTGCGGTACAGACTGCAGCAGCTACATGTCATTTTTGTTAGAAGGCTCGCATTATTCATCTTAGCATTACATGAACATGCCGATGCAATCAGTCTAAACTAAATTTATTTCGATAATTATATGCAGCCACAACCTCTTCCGGTGAGTTGGTAAAGCGAATATTTCGGTCGTTTTCACTGATTCGACACACTTGCTAAAACCAATAAATGTGTTCATCAACTTTGATATAACACCTAATTCCAATTTCTCGGCGTACTTTTATCTTCTAGATTCAGGGGTGACATCCAGTTTCATGAGTAAATTGTTTTATTTTGATTATGTCAATCAATTTTACAACACTAAATCCAGTGACAATATGAACGTCAAGTACCTTTAATAAATGAGTGAATTATTATCTTAAAGCCCTACAATTCACTTACCGTATCCGAGACCACGGCAACTGCTCCGCTGCAGAGAGGGTAGAACTGATAAATAACCATTGCTACATTTTCATTTAGAAGGTAAACATTAAGCGGCCAAGCATCACGTACACTATCTTTGCATTTAACCTAGACTAATTCATGTTTTGATAATTTATGCAGCCACAACCTCCCCTGGTAAGGTGGTATAGCGACTGCTTCGATCCGTTTCACTATTTTGCTACCTTTGTTCATGCCAGTAAATGTACTCATCCACCATGATATAGCACTTTAGATAAATTCTCTGCGTATTTCCACATTCTAGGTCCTGAGGTAACGTACACTACCACGAGTGAGCTGTTTTATTTTAGTTATTCC